GCCATCCAAACAGATGACTTTGGAGAATTCCAGGAATGGAATCGCAGATTTGCCAAATGCATTAAGTGTAATGGAGAGTATTTTGAAGGTGACAGGTTGTTTTGTTAAAAAAAAAATTAAATACATAGCTTTTAAAAAAATTCCTTTTTGGTGGGTAGGTACCACCTCGTAATAAACAACTTCGAGAGGGTGACCCCAAGGACATAGCATATCTGAAATAAACCCTGATATGAACAAACAAACAAAATAAAAAGAGAGAAAACACTGCATACCAGATCAGGTTCAGTGTGCATGAGGGGTGGGGGGGGCGGTCAACAGGCAAGGCTTTAACTGTTCAAGTCAAGTTCATGTCTTTGATCTTCTTCACACGTTGAAACCCCCCTACCCCACCCCCACACCCCCGCCTGCGCTCTGTGTAGTAACCACTTTCCTCCCATCCCTCAATGATGGATCGAGGGAGATGCTCGGAGGCTTATTTCCTTTGCAGTTCCCACGAATGTATCTTGGTGGGCCCCCACTGTCATCCAGAGTCTTCTACAAACTGCACTTTGACAATTTAGGCTCTGATACTGATCCCTCCTTCGACTTTGGGCTATATGGATTACAATCCTTCAGTGACTGATGATGGTGTGCTTCTTCCACGTGGACTTAGTTGACAACTCGCTTAGATGGCTACTTGTCTGGAGACAAGCCTTTAAGACCCCAGATGTTATTTTATCTGGTAGCTGGGCAACATTGATTTCTTCATCAAAGTTTGCTATAGCACCCTTATCTTCTGTATTTCCTTCTTCAGGACGAGTATGGAGCAGGGACATGATGTTAGAACTCCTTGTTCTTAATTTGGAGCTAGAATTTAGTGCAAGCCCCAAACTCATTCCTGGATCTACATTTGGTTTTTTCCATCTGCCTTTGACTCTCTTTCAAAACCTCCTTGTTACTTTATGGTAGAGAATCTTATTGATCATCCCCCTGAAGCATAACAATCTTCCCCTGGTCCTAACTTTTTAAAGCCCTGTTGAGAGAGATATATTGGGCCAATGTAGGCTAACTCCACATCACAGTACCTGAATTATTCACTTGTAGATAATCAATCCTTTCATGGCTGGACACTGTTTACACAAACAATAGGGGGTTAATTGTCAGGGGAAATGTACAATGATAATCACTGAGGATGTCAGTGACAGATTTGTTGGAACAATGTATGTCTTAATATAGCACATAGGGCCTTGATGTCGCAGGATCATGTTTGTCCACCTACCAACAGTTCACCTTGGTACAGCTGTCTGCTTCCTCAGACACCATGTATTTTCTGACTTAAGTCCTCAGGTTACAAGTGTGTCTGAGGTAGAGTCCAGTTCACCCAGTGGAGTTTCTGCATCAGATCTCACTGATGCCACCTCTGGGGCATGCCGTGCACCTTGAAGACCCAGGATTCAATGTCTCAGTGTTCCAGGGAACCCAGCATGGGCCCAGAAGCCTGGGTCAATGTGGCCCATTCAAAGCATATCACCAGGGACAATTCCTCCCTAGGGTCCCCTCAAAGCCTTTTCAGTCATTCTTCCCCCAACTGGAGGTCAGTCCTCCTGCTTTGCATACCAACAAACATATATTTTTTCCCCCAAACGTGTTTGCTCTCTTTCCCCTCTCCTGACTTGTTTTTCCCATCAGTACCCCTCATCCCTCTGACAGGGCTGTCTACTGGGGCAGGGGGTGAGGAAGACCTCATCATAACTTTACATTCAGTAGAAAACATCGCCTTCCCCTCCTCTGACTATCTGAGCCTAGCTGACGTGAGACGCCCTCCAGTGAAATGACCTTCAAAATACTTACCTAGAGCAGATTGTGTATGGTTCATTGGCTCCTGTCAGCCTCTCTACCAGGATGTCTGGCCTCCCTGGACAGCAGACTGGATGCCCTACAAGCCTGAGCTTGTGCCCATTCTGCTGCTTGTTCCTACAGCAATGGGCTCAACAGCATTTGTCTTTTGACCCATTTTAAAGTTGTTTCCGTTTTTTAACATTTTCTGGTTTCTTTTCAATTGAGGTTTTTCTCTGTTTCATTTGGTCCCTTTTGGGGTTTATTTTTTGGTTTTATTTTGCATGATTCTCTGCTTATGAAATCCAGGATAGGTAAGTCTATAGAGACAGTAACTAGATTAATAATTACATTGGGGCATGGCAGCAGAGGTTGGGGAAAAACGGAAGGTAACAACAACGAGTGCAAGCAAGACAGAAGAAAATATCCTGAAATTAAGTGTGGCCATGATTCTATAACTCATCTTAACATGATTGGACTATGAAATTGTATGATTTGTATATTATATGCCAATAAAACTATTTGAAACAGAAGAAAACAAAACAAAAAGTAGAAATAAAATATTGCACACACACACACACACACACAAAGGAAGTAAATAGAATGAGAAAGTATGGTTTTGCTTGTTTTTTTGCAATTGAACAAAGTAAAGAAAGCTAATTAAAAAAAGATTAATTGAGCTGATACCAAGGGCTCAATAGCAAGTAAATGTTTAGAAAATAATGAAGGCAACATATGCACTAATATTCATGATACAATTGATGTATCAAGGGCTGTAAGAGCCCGCCCAAAATTATCTTTTAATTAAAAAAAAAAGAGTTAACTATCTTGACTTTGAGTCTTTAAAGCACACTGGTTCAGGGTAGATATTCTTATATGTAACATTATCATAAAACAAGCAATTGAATGGTTTATAGTTTCTGAAACACGAGAGTAAGAAAGAGAGGCAGAGACAGAGAACAGAGGACAGGAGCCATTTTAAACTCCTTCCGCCGAGTAGAGACTCATCAGGGCTTTTTCTAAAGTGGACAGGTAGGAATACCTTTCAGCTTTCGCAGAGCTGCATGTGCTAAATATCTTGGTAAGAAGGGCACACTTCGGGTCCCTGTGAAAACTACAAAAGTTGACCAAGCGCAGGAAGCTATTTATCACACTCTCTGTTCTGTATTCTTTATATTGTTTTCAACTCATCACACTCTAGAAATGTTCTGACTCATCTTTCAGTTCAAAAATTGTCCCACCAGCAGTTTCTAAGCTGTTATTATTAGCCATTTAAAATCATAGAAATGGTTCAAAGTCTTTTTGACTCGAAGCAAATCGACACTTGTTCCTGACAGGTGCTAGAGTCACTAGCTTTCAAAAATAAGCTTTTTTTACTTTCCGGAATGTAGGGAACTCAAGCATGATTGCTTAGCAATAGATGGGTCTATTATTAGAAGTATTAACTATTTCTTACACCCAAGTTCGTTCAACACAAATTTATCACATTATAAATCTGCAACAAATTTCAACCTACACTTTCAACATTTTACCATTTATAATAGCAGCAGAAAATTATTAGATACACAGGAAAATCTAACTAAAATGCACAAGATTTTGAAACAATAAAACAATAACATTGTGCAGACATTAATTTAAAAACCCACATAAATGGAGAGAGAAGGCAGCTATGGATTCCCAGCAGATAATGTGCTGACATCACTTTGGCCATGGCACAGTATGAACTACAGTGTTAGAAGTAGTAAATAATTTTATAGAGTTAACTACAGAGTGGTTTTCCTTAGTTATGGAAACTATTCCTGAACAGTAAATCCAGGGGTGCTACGTCAACATTCCTGCTGGGTGTAGAGTGGGTGTTCAACATGTCCCCTTCAGAGACTGCAGGGACATCTGTAGCTTGGGTACAACAGAAGCTATTGCCGCCCTCCATGAAATCACACCTGGCTTGTGCCTTAGCAATTAAGGCTGCTACCTATACTCATCATGTAAGCTGACTCTGGAGGAAAGAGGATACAATGACCTCTATTTATCCAATGGCGTTTCTTGTCACATGACCACTGCTGCATAGTTGAAAGTGTGGGCAGTATAGAAGAGGAGAGAGGAATGACCAGGAGAAGGTCTCATTCCTCCTTCCTGGACATCCAGCCTTAAAGAGATATGACCTATATGACAGGACCCCAGTGAACAGTGAGGAGAGCTTCAATGCTATCAGTTCTCTGAGGATCAGGACTGTTGAAGGTACCATAAGGGGAGACTGGGGCACAAAGGCTTCCCAACTTCACAAGTAAGCTGCAAATTGAATCACAGTTAGCCATGTGAATGGGAGCATGAAGCTGTGGGTCACAGATGGTCAAGCCCGAAGGACAGAGCAGTGCCACGGTCTCATGGACCATTTCTATTCATTGGTCATTATTTGGCTTTGTTGACAGGAAGAAGCTGAGGGAGACTCCATCTCAGTCCAATAGCACCGTCATATAAGAGCTGTGATCTTCATAGTTACAATTTTCAAAGCACGTTAATTTACTAGCTCAAGGGGAAACGCAAAGTTCAGTAAGGACATGAAACTGAGAAGAAAATGTTACACATTGTAAAACATGGATGCTAGTTAGTAAAACCTCAGCAAGAACAGAAGGAAGAACAGAAAACACCGATTGATCTTTGGCTAGTTGACGCAAAGATGACAATAAAATGAAATCCAGAGCAGTCGGCATCACAGACTCTCGAGAAAAATGATGGTGTCTACAGAAGTAAATCTGACTGCAGATGGCAAGATGGTGGAAGGCAGGGTGCCTATTGCACACGCTACAGAGTGGGAGAATGCGCTGACTTCATGGAGGAAAGCAGCACCAACTTCCCTGGTTGTTCTTGTTCCCACTGCTTTCCCAGCCCTAACGCCCTCATCGGTCTTTGTCTGCTTAGACACAAGCGTCTTCTCTGTTACCAAACATCAACTGGTTAAATTCAATCTGTCTCTTGAGGCTAGATAACCCGCTGCAGAAAGTAGCTCTTTCTCTGGCAAGCCTTCCTATCCACGGCTGTGCTCCAGTCCCTGGGACTCCAGAGGAAAAGGGCAGATGACGAGGCCGGATTGAGTGACTCACTTCCGTGGCCTCTTGCTGTTATTCAGGGACCATGCATCTCCTAAGAAACTGGCCCTAGGGAGAAATAGCAGAAACACGACTCACCTGTGGCAAAAACGACGTTCCTTGAGACCAGGCGGTGCTCCACAATGGAGAACTGTGGGAGCTCGATTTTTTCCACTCCAGTGACGGCTTTCTCCCCTCCTCTCCAGTAAAACTCAATATCATCGGTGGTGTAACCGTCTGCCAGGAGAGAGAGCAGGAATGTAGAGGACAGGGAACATCATCACTCTGTCAGTGCAAGGCTAGAGAAACAGGACCCGTGAAATAAAAGTAACAGCGTTCCTAGATCTTTGCTTAATGCATTTTTTTCTATGAGAAAGTCTGTTATTAAATGACCAACTTTCAACCACATTTCCTTATCTCTGCCGCTTGATTGGTATGAAGCTGGTGTTAGAAAGTTGAGGGCCTGGGACACTTGGTGTGTGCGCTGTCCAGAGTTTGTAAAACCTGATAGAGAGCTGGCCTGTACATGTACAGAAATGGCACATCACCCTGAATGTAAGTTAAATCAAATCAATGGCGGTTGTTTTTTAATAGAAGTTAAGAAGATGATTATATAAGAAAGACCAAGAGGATTCTAGTGTGAAGTATTCTATAAAAGGAACTACCCTAAAATATATTTTGAAAAATTTGTACGCTGAAGGAAGCCCTTAGATAGTTGCTATCATAAGAAACTGAAGAAAAGTGGTGTTCTTCTCGGCTCTCCTGTTGATCACATAAGGTACTCTGGGCCAGCAGGCATGCCTTATGAAGGCCTTTCGCTGCAGCCATCTGGACTCTCAGTGGTTTGACAGGTGGTCTCATCAGAAAAAGGAGTGAACATTAACTTGATTATAACTCCTAATCCACCTGTTTGTACAGTGCTCACTGTTCACAGTCATCCATCAACTACTGTGTCTTAAGAGCAATTGCAAAGGGCAACCCCTTCCTTGAACTTCCCTCCTACACCTCTTCAAAAATTAAGCATATTATGTGTTGCAGGTGGAGATAAAAGGGAGGAGATGCGGGATAGTAAAAACAGTGGTCCAGGCAAGAAATGGATTGAACTAGGGAGGTAGTGGAAATCAGTCATTCTCCTGCCCTGGCGGTCTGTTTGTGGCAAAAACTACCCATTTGCCTTTTTGTTGTATGTGGGCAAATAACAGAGTAGTGAGATTTCCCCCCTAGATATATATTTTAATTGACTGCAGAGCGGACAATAAAGTCTGATATTACTTTTACAGACCAGGAACATTTAACATCCATGTATGGTCGCTTTCTTTTTCTAGCTTAAATCTTCAGCTATCGGCAGAGCCATCTCTTTTCCTTGAGATTTCTGTGTTCTAAGTTAAAGGTCCCCAGAAAACTCTACTATCCACCACGTAACATGACCACATGTTCTTCACCTTCTCCGAAAGCAGAAGTGACAATGATAGAGGCGTGGGAGGAGGTCCAATGAGGAACTGGAAAACTAGCCTAGCACTGGGGATGTTTTCCAATATGTTTATTATCAGGTATAGATCCCTATGCCACTATAGTTGCATCAAGGAGCACTGCAAAGTTAAAATCATTTATCTACTGAAAAACCTGTGTAAATATTGACAAGTCCAAGTTCAATTGAAGCTAATTATAAATTTGCCTATGGTAGATCAAGAAAAATAACAAGAACAAAGCCACATTGAACGTGCTCAAGGAGGAGACAGGACGCTTGTTGGTTGATAAAGATTCAGGTCTAGTGTCTCACACAGAAGTAGTACTCCATGCAAAATTGTCCTTAAAGAATCTGAATATTCCTCAAATTGGAGAACGTTGCTGAAATGCAGAAATTGATTTCTTGTAAAGCGGGTTTCATAATAGGAAATGAATTTTGCTCAGAGTGCCCACAGTCCCAACAGCACAGTCACGTCTGTCTTCTCACTGAATGAATGAAATGGAGAACATTTGTTTTCTTATATTACAACAAACCAAATAGACTTTCTAAATGAGATTGGAAATTAAAAAAAATTCATTTTCACAGAGTCTAACTCTCTTTTTCATGACAGTAAGAGTTGCCAAGTGGAGAATTAAACCTTTAACTTGAAGTTAGTTAAAATGATCTACGTTGCTTGGGATCCTAATTAACGACAAGAAAGCCTACAACGTAAAGTGGACACGAAGGAGCAACCGATGCAGATACACACAGCTTTCGATCTCCAGAGTGCAGTTCTGCTCATCCAGTGGGTACCGCCTCAGGTCCATCATGCATGCTGCTGTCGTGGTGATTCTGAAACGCAAAGAGCACGGGGCAGCATTAAAGATGGAGGCACATGGACAGGGCCAACTCTTTCTGAACAGACAGTCTGTAGGACCCCTCCCCCAAAGTGCACCTTGACTGAAGATATTTCAAAGCATCTATTGAGAAAAACTACTCACTGGGGATTAATACGAAATTGCCCTTAGGATACCATAGATCAGCTTTATCAAGACAAACAGTACAATAATCTTATATACTACAAAATTATTCATTGAGCTTTACCAACAATAACAAAAGACAACAGGTAAATCCCAATTTGAAAAAACAAAAACAAAACAGAAATACTGAAAAACAGATCAAGTTCAAAGAGTATCAAAAGGGAGATCAAATGATAAGGTTTTAATCATTAAAGTCATATTTTTAATTTTAATGTGCTATAATTGTTTCTACAATACCCTGATAATCAGGCCATTCCCATCCCTCAATTATGCTCAGAGGGAAATTACTGGAGGCTTATTCCAGGTGTAGAACCTGCCAATGTACTTAGGGCTTCCACTGTCATCTATAGTCCTCTGAAAACCAGAATTTCACAATTTATTTACAATCCTTGCATCACTTATATACATGTGCTTCTTCCATGAGAGCGTAATTGGAGTCTCACTTAGATGGCTGCTTGTTTTAAAACAAGTTTTTAAGCCCACAGTCACTTTGCTTTCTGATAGCTAGACCTTATCTAGTTTCTTCACCACACTTTGGTGTAGCATCCACAGCCCCCATGTTTCCTTTAGGAGGATGCTTATCAAGCAGGCCCATGTCTTATTCTATGTGTCCCTGGTTCACCTTAGAGACATCTTTGTTATTTTATGTATGCGAACCTTATTGAGCTGATTCCTAGAGTTAAGGTCCTTCTGTTTCTAGTGTCATTGAGTTAGCCCATGGTAAAGTATTCAAAACACACTTGAGAAAAGGAGATTAAACAAGTGTAGGCTATTACAAATTGTAATGCATGGATTATTGATTTGTGCGGATTAAATACATGACTGGACACTATTTACACAATGGGGATTGGTCGTAAGGCAAAACTTAAAGTAATATTCACTGACAATATCAGACACACATCTGCCAGAATAATAAATATCTTAATAAAGCAATTAAGGCATTGAAATAATAAATAAATGGTAGTCTGCCTACTGGCAGTTCAATTTTCTTGGGAAAGTTGTCTCCTGCTTCTTCACACACCATGTGGTTTTGGCTTTAAATCCTAGGATTACAGGTGTGTTTGAGGAAGAGACCACCTCACCTAGTGGGGTTTGCACATCACACCCATCTAGTATGTTTTTTGGAGTATGTCTTTGTTTTGTATCTTTTTATTTAATTAATTATTTTATTGCGGGGGGGGGGGGGGCTCTTACAAATCTTATGACATTCCATCATTCAATTGTATTAAGCACACTTGTACATATGTTGCATCATTTCCAAAATATTTTCTTTCTACTTGAATCCTTGATACTAGGTCCTCTTTTCCCCCCTTCCTCCTCCACCCTCCCTCCCTTGTGAATCCTCGATTAATTATATATTATTTTTGTTATTTCATATCTTACACTGTCCGTTGTCTCCCTTCACCCACATTTCTGTTATTTGTCCCCCTGGAGGGTGGGCTATATGTCCAACTCTTTGATGGGCTCCCCCTTTCTTCCCTATCCCCCCACCCCCAGCATCGCCCTACCTCAGGATATTGCTACTCCCACTACTGTTCGGTGTCTCAAAGATGCAGGGTTCCATGTCCCAGTATTCTATGGCACATGGCCCGGGTCCCCAGGGGCTGTACAGATATTCAGATCAACGTGCCCTATTAGCAGCATACTCTCCCTGTGGGATCCATATGAGTATTGTTAGTCATGTTTTTCCCACTAGGATGTTGGTCACCCCTACTTTTCAGCCAAAAAGGTGCACTTGTCTTCTATGAGACATGTAAGCTCCCCTTCCCACCTTTTGACTTGATTTCACATCAGTATCATTTATCACTCTGGCAGCAATGTCAGCTGGTATGGCAGGGTGCTCATCACAGTTTTGCATGGCAGCCCCTGAAGGATCCCTCTTTTCCACCAATCTTGAAAACCTGATTCCCGTTGAAGTGAAGTCTTCTCTTTCAAAGTGGCTTTCAAGTCATACTTATAGAGATGATGGTGCATGGCTCATGTCCACTAGTCAGGCTCTCTACTGCATTGCGTGGCAGACTGTGTTAGTGGGTTGTATGGCCTGAAAGCATGAGTTTGCCTTCATGTTGGTGTTTATACTTAGAGCAGTGGACTAATACAATAGTTATCGTTTTGTGACTGACTAACTTCACTCAGCATAATGATTTACCGATCCCTCCCCGTCATGAAGTGTTTCATGGTTTCGTCACTGATTTTTCAGGGATGTGTTGTATTCCATCATGTGTTTATACCAAAGTTTTAAAATCTATTCTTCTATTGATGGGAATTTGGCTTGTTTCCGGCTTCTCACTATTGCAAACTCTGCTTCAATGAAAATGGGAGAGCATAGCTCTGTTTGTTATCTGTCACCTATTTCTTTGGGGTATATGCCCAACAATAGTATGTCTATTGTCTGTTGCTTTAGAATTTGCCATATCACTTTCCCAAATGGTTGTACATATTGACAAGACCACCAGCAGTGTATAAGAGTTCCAATATCTCTACACATTCTTCAGCATTTTTCATTTTTTTAATGGGCTATGGTTATGGATGTAAGATGGTATCTCATCATTATTTTGATTCTGATATCCCAGATGGCCAGTGAACTAGAGTATTTTCTCATGTGCTTGTTAGCCATTCAAACATCATACCTTGGTGAATTATCTACTCAGATTCTTTGATGACCTTTTAAGAGGGTTATTTGGGGTTTTTTTTGCATGTGTTGTTGCAGATTTCTGTAGATTTTTTTAGTAATTAGTTCTTTGTTATATCACTCAAATATTTTTTTCTAGTCAGTGGTCTCTCATTTTACACTTTTAATGAAATCTTTATTTTATTTATAGTATTTTATTTTTAATATGTCCCAGTAATCTATTTTGCTTTTCGCTGTGTGTGCTTCCTTTGTTATATCTAATAGTCCATATATGTCTTGCGCTGGGGCCCTTAGATCTGTACTGATTTTCACATTGATGATCCAGATAACTATGGGTTTTACATTTAGGTCTCTGACCCACCTTGAGTTCATTTTGTTCATAGGGTAAGGTCTGTGTCTTATTTACCGTCTATACTTGAGTATATGCCAACCTAAATACCAGCCGAGGCACCAAATTTTACCACAAAACTGCATTAAAAATGTGCTGAAAAACTCGGCTTATACACGCGTATATAGGGCGATTCTTCTGCAGATGGATATCTGGGTTTTCCTGCACCACTTGTTGAAGAGGGCACCCCTTTTCCATTTTTGGTTTCCAAGTCCTTTGTCAAAAGCCAGTTGTCTATAGACAGATTCTTTTTTTCTAGGTTATTTGTCCTGCTCCAGGTTTCTATCAGTACCAGACTGTTTGGACAACTATGGCTGTGTAGTACATGTTGAGGTCAGATAGTGCAAGACCACCTACCTTGTTCTTCTTTTTTGAGAAGTTCTTTGCTTATCTTGTGTCTCTTCCCTCTCCACATGAGGTTTCTAATTAGTTTCAGATCTCTCTTCCTTGGTATATAGGAGTCCAATTGATTTCTCCTTGTTAATCTGGTATCCTACTACTTTACTAATTGTTTCCAACATTCTTATTGTAGAAACCTTGGATTTCTCTTTATATAAAATCATAATCATCTGCAAATAGCAAGTGTCCCTTCTTCTTTGCCCAATTGTAGTCCATTAATTTCTTATTCTTGTCATATGTTTCTGGCAAGGAGTTCCAACACAACGTTGGAAAAGAGTGGTGATAAGGGGCATCCTTGTCTTGTTCTTGTTTTCAGTGAGCTTGTTTCAGCATTTCCCCATAGAGTGTGATATTGGCCATTGATTTTTCATATGGCCTTTATTCTGTTGAAGAATTACCCTTTTATTCCTATCTTATTGAATGCTTTTTATTAGGAATTGGGTGTTTGATATTCTCAAATGCTTTTTCTGCATTGATTGGTATGGGGAAAGTATACTATTTACGTAATACTTAAGGAGAAAAAGAATTAAACAAATCAAAATAGGTAACCATAGATAACACACCACAATGAAGATAACAAACAAACAAACGAAAAACCATAGGCAACAGAGGAGACAACAAATAGTCAAACAAAGAAGATATCAAACTGTTCATGAAAGACAACAAACTGGCTTCTTCTCTGAGAAAACACCAATGGTGGATGACGCCAGGGCAGCAGGAGGACCTGCAGAGCCCACAGGCCCCGGGGGGCCAGAGCGGGAGCTCGCTGCAGTGTCTGCAGAGGCTTCAGCTGCAGCTTGCGAGGACCTGGTCGCTGCTGTGGTTATGGGCGTGGACGAGGCCGCGGAGCTCACGGAGGCAAAACCAAAGCCAAGGAGTGGCTCCCTCTCACCATGCTAGGTGGTCTGGTCAAGGACATGAAGATCAAGTCCCTGGAGGAGATTTGTCTGTTCTCCTGCCCATCAAAGAGCCTGAGATCACTGACTTCTTCCTGGGGATGGCCCTCAAAGATGAGGTCCTAAAGATCATGCCTGTGCAGAAGCAGACCCGAGTCGGCCAGTGGATCAGGTTCAAGACCTTAGTTTCCATCGAGGACTACAATAGCCATGTTGGCCTGGGCATCAAGTGCTCCAAGGAAGTCGCTACCGCCATCTCCGGGGCCATCATCCTGGCCAAGCTGTCCATTGTCCCCGTGCGGCGAGCCTATTGCAGGAACAAGCTCGGCAAGCCACACACTGTTCCCTGCAAGGTGACCGGCTGCTGTGGATCTGTGCTGGTGCGTCTCTTCCTACCCCCAGGGCCCTGGCATCAACTCAGACCCTGTGCCCAAGAAGCTGCTGATGATGGCAGGGATTGATGACTGCTACACCTGGGCTAGGGGCTGAACAAGTAC